TCTCAGAGATCATGACCACTCACAACCACAACAACTTGCACAGTTAAAGATGAACCCATATCAAAATTCCAGAAACCAGAAGTGCATTCCAATCTACACTTCACAAATGCTTACAAGTCAAGGTTCATTCCCTGATCTTTTAGGGGTTTGAAAAGTGTGGGTTTCTCTTCAGTGGCCTGCCACCCTTTCTACTGAAAAATCCAAAGAAAGAGTTTGCAGAAGAGCAGAGAAACAACGGCACAAGGCTGGTGTAGTAGAGTTTTGAGCAAGGGAGAGACTCATACCTCTATTATACAAAACAGGCATGGCTAGTGCTGGATATTGAAAGGGTTCAGGGTGAAGTGAAGGGGAGAGGCAGATAATTTGAGATCTAGGCATTTTCAGAGAGCAGCAAAGGAACAGCAGAGTAAGGGGCTTTCCCCTCTTTCCTATTAAAAACTGATATTCACAGATAAGCTTAGCCTCTCTGAGAAGGTTCAATTCTCCCTACCAGCTAAAGAGCCCATTTGACACCTCCTTTGGGAAATCCCAGGCTTGCTATAAGCTGTACAGTAACAAGACATGAAGAGTCTTGAAAGTGCTCCAATGCAAATGGTGCTCCAGAAAGAGGCAGGCTGGGACAGTCTGAAAGGAAAAAGCCCTGTTCCCCACACCCCAACTTACTTGAAGGCTGCAACAGCCACTGCAGTTGTCAAGATGGTATTCCTAGTCTCTTTTCCTCCAAATCCTCCTCCCATTCTTTTCACTCTAACCACAATCCGATTTGAAGGGACTCCCAGTGCATTAGCAGCAAGCTCCTAAAGAAAAACAGAACAGCGGAACATCTACAGAGCTGAGCTGTTGTTTAGAACTGACACCAACACATTGCCTTTCTGCAGCCATTGCAACAGTGCAAATGTTTTGATGCAATTGGAACCATTAAGCCCAGTACTTAATCTCTGAGGTGGGAAGGCACACAGTGCTTCAGCAGACAGCACCAGATTCAGTAAGAGACTGACAAGAGATGAAATTACCAAGACATACGTCTCATTTAGCACAGGGTTTGATGTCCACACTGCTCTCTCCATTCTCCTCACTCTATTATAAGACTTCTGGACAGTCTTGATGAGTCAGTAAACAGGCCAAAGACACCCAACAGTGCCAGTAGCCGACCTCACAAGATGGCAGAGTTGGTATATATGGCCATTGTTTACACCATCTCTCTTTTGGACACGTCGTCATTCAACAGCCATGCCTACTGCCCAGCTGGCACCCTCTCCAGAAAGGGTTAAGTATGTAATCCCTGGCAACAAAGATGTGCTGCCAACAGAAACATCTCTGTCACCTGGAAGCAGATTCAGGACACCAGAAGGATCAATATGGACTTCAGATTCCATATCCAACTCTAAGCCCACGTGGATTTTTTATTCAAGACGAGCTAGAACCAACTGTAAAACAACATTTTAGCTAGTCTGAAACTGAGAAACAAATGTCTTTTAGGTAGCAGGTCAATGAGACAGTACCTGCGTCTTCATTAGGTTTTGGGTCGACACAAAGAGCTCCATCTCACCATCTTCTCCCTTTGGCACAGCAACAGTGGAGTGAGTTTCCAGATAGAAGTGCTCCTGCCCACCAAGGTACATCTCTCCTAGAAGATGGAACGAAATGCCCCAGAGACGGTGTTAGCCCCAGTGTCCCTGGTGTTATAACAAGTCTCCCATCATGCGCTGCCTGCAAGCTACTGTCCTTTTGACACGTGTTAAATGACAATCCTTTGCATTGCCTAGGACTGGATACTCCTAGCTCTAAAACTGACTCTAAAAAACAAAACAAAAAAACCCCAGACACACAACCCCTCCACTTTCTAGAAATCTTCAGTCCAAAACACAAGTGGCTGGTATTTCAAAAGTAAAGCTGCACACCATGCCATTGACCCAGCATCCCTTAAGATGCAGTGTTTGGTGCCTTTCAGAGTGCCCTGGTAACACCACTGAGATGAAGGATAAAAATAAATCAAGTATATTCTATCTGAGTAGATCAAATACAAGGTTACAGACTTTGAAACAGGGGAACAAAAATAGAAAGCCAAAATACCTTAAGATGATGTAACTGGGAACCAACTCTGTCACTGCGTGTGGCTCTTTCTCAGTACATCTTACCTGGCTAAGTGCTAAGGGTGCAATTTCCAGTCATGCTACACATTATTAAATGTCAGAATTGACCTCCTTTCTCAGTCATGGCCCTAGTCTATTCAGCTGCCATGAAAATTAATATTCAGAGCAGTTCTCAAAATCCTGTTCCTCTCTTCCCTTTATTCAACTCAGCAACAACAAAACAGCTGCCTTCATTAGGTACAGCAGTGAGAAATGCGTATTTGTGTGAGACAATGCCTACCTGGTATGTAATAGAGGCCTTTCTCTTGTCTCCTGGCATTCACACAGTATTGCAGACTTTTAAATAATCTATTCTATCTCAGAAGAATTTCTGCCTTGCCTGGCATGGTGTTTTCATTTTGTGTAGTATAGCACACTAAGAAACAGTTGACAACAGCTTGTGACACCTTTGAAGTGCCAGCAGCAATTGGTGACTGCAGAGGAAAGTCTCAGCAACACATACCAAAACACAAGTCACAGAGCTGGAAATGGATGTTTCAATGAAATAACTCCCCTCTTCCCCCAGAGGGGGAGGTAAGGGGGCATGTTTCTCTATTCTTGGAGAATAATCCCTTCATACCAGACTTTGTGTCTCTAATCCATTTGGCTTCCCTCTCATATCTGTAAGAGGGATACAACAACCTCTTATCGCTAAATACGTAGCTCTCCAAAGGTCTGACGTCCAAGACTCTTCCTCTCAGGAGCTGATACGTACACCAAGCAATGACATGGGTCTAACAGAGTATTCCAGTTCACAGCTCTGGCACTCTCCCCTCCTAACTCATAGATATTTTAAACACTGCTTGATAATTGCTATGTTTACCCATGTCTCTACAAGCTGCTTGGCAGACTCCAACTGAATGAAACCAAGAAGCACAGCAAAAAAACCCCATCCTCAAAGGCAGACCAACAATCAATGCCGAGAAAGTGTTACAGGGCAATTCCATGTTCTCCATGATACTTACATCCACCAATGTTTGTGGATCAGGTTTTCAGACACATGTATGTCCCATTTGCATAAGATACAGTCATATACCAGGTTACAAGAAATTGACTGTCTATAAGATTCAGACCAGGCTATGTCTGGACAGGGAAAAGCTCCTATATGGATATGTTTCAGGAAAAAAAAATCCATTTGTAGAATATTTCCTTAAGAAAAATGTGTCCTTACATTGGAAGAGTGTTTCCAGGGGCACAGCTGGAAGCAGCCAAGTTTGTTTAAAACTGAAATTAAATGTTTCACAAGCTATTTGTATATAAACAGTTAGTTGAAACTTAATATGAAATTAATTTAGCCCCGTAAGCCTTCCTTCACAAGTTCAGTATCATATGCATAAAAAGGAGGTTGATAGTTTGACTTCTTTTGTCACAAACTATCCTATTTTAAAAGAAGCATTAATTCTTAGTCTCACCTTCCAAAATGTGATCAGACTCCTCAAATCCTTTCTTCACGTCTCCCTTCTTAATCCTCTTTATAGACTTAAAAAAGGATTGTTTCTCAATAGCTTCCTAGGAAACATAATGACACAATGAAATTTTTGTGGAAGTGGAATGAAAACAAAGCTTCCTCTGACTGAAGGAGAAATATCTGAGATAAAAAGCACAAGAACTTATCAAGCACCAACTATGGTAATAGCCAAGTGACTTGACTTAAAGCAGTAAAAAAATAATTTTTGGGAAGGCAGCCATTTCACAATAAGCACTATAATTGGACAATCGTAGCTTTCTCCTTGTGACCCGTTTTACATTACGGACCCAGAACCTCAAGGTCTGTAGCCACCAGAGCTATGACTTACAAGATACATTAACTATAGTCTGTGGCCTAGAAGGCAGAAAAAGAAGAGAGATAAAAGGAGAAACAATCTCAGACAGGATGAGAACTTAATTAGTTCACTTCTGAGCTAACATACAATAAACTCTCGGGGAAATTTTACAACCATATTTCACTTTTGCCAAAACTGAAACTTTCCATAATAAAAATAAATAAACAAACAAACAAACCACAACACAATGATCAACAACAACAAAAAATAATCAGCACATTTTTGGCTCCACTCTCATCTTCTCTGGTTGAATAAACAACTAGAAGCCTCGGAAAAGGAAAAGTTCTCACATGCTGTTTGTGAACTCAAAAATCATTCAAATCAAAACTTCTGACCATAGATGACAGTGCCAAAGCCTGCAATGCACAGACTCTTTGTATTGGCATGAATACAATTCACATTACAAAACACATTATGAAATATTGACCATTGCAAAAATTTAATTAGAATCTCCCGGTTCTAACCTTTCCCCAATAAGAATGTCTTCATACATTTTTCTCTAATTTCTAAATGTGAATACCATGTTAGGTATTATAATTTACTTTTACTCTCACATAAGGAAATCTTGTTAACAAGCCATCTTGTTAAAAAAAAAAAAGCATGATGTGATCACAAACTGTTGACATTCATTTCTTCAGCTTTGAGAAAAGCCACTTAAGGCTCTGTCCACAGAGCAGACTGAACACCAGAAAATTAATTTCATCAGCTCTAGAATCTAGACAAGTGGTCTGCAGAAATCTCAGAGAAGCAGTGCAGTGACAGAGCTAGAAGAGACATTTTCACACCCTCCTACTGAATTTTATAAATCAGAGAAGGAAGAATGAATGAATACCACTCAAACCAGCAGAGTTATACCAGAAAATCTTGAAAGCAAGCATCTGTGGGTAAGAATGTAACTGGCAGTAACCTTGTTAATTTTAACAAGTTTGTGCTGAGCACAATATATCTGCCACTGTTCAGTTGTTATAGTTTTAAATAACACAGAACAAGTTAATGTACTCCCAGTACCACAAAGGTGTGTCCTCTTTATATTTAAATATACAAGTTAATCCTTCTATCCATATCCTGCTGCACCCACATAAACAAACAAAACATGCAGCTAAATAACCACATGTGCGAGAACAAAAGTTAGACATCAGGGCATCCCAAGCTAACTGCAGAAGCAGCTCTGAGCTGTCTTACCTGAATGGTAACAACAGGTTTGAGCTCTTCATACTTAATCTTCACAGCTTTAGCTGCTCTTCTGGAATGTTCTTGTGTGTCTGCAAGAACTGCACCGATGATATGACCAACACAAGTGACCTACAGGCAAGATTAGGACCCACCATAATTTGGTGTACATAAATGCAGTAAATGAAAGGCTCATGATAATTCTCCATCTATTCTTTTGGTGCAATTTTTTGTCTCTTTGGACCAGACTATTTAAAACCGGTCAAGTAAAACCTATCACAACCAACTTCAGACAGTATCCAAGTGAGCCTGTCCCACGGGCCTGCAGTTTAGAGGAGAATTGTAGAGATACACGGAGGAGGGCACAGGGCAAGGGGACTCAAGCATCACTGAATTTGGCACCAAGATTTCTACTGACCCCAGTGCAGTCAGGATTGATTTCTGTATATGGTAGAGGATTTAACTGGACAATATCAGAAATCTTATCTCCTGAGCAGCGTGATTGAAAAGGGCTATTTTTAACAACATACCAAGTCCTCGGCAAAGACAGTCTCATCATTAGCAATGCCAGTGATGTTACTGCCAGGAACATCCTTGGCGGAGACAAAACACACAAACCCAGGAACACTCTGAGCTTCAGATGCATCTATAGAACTAAAGAAAGAAAGGAGGAGAAGCAACTTTATCATTTCTGATTTTTCTTTCTGTAAGTGCTTATTTGTAATAATACATTTTCAGGCCTGATTCCTTGAAGTCTGGCTATGCAGAAAAGGAGGAGTTTGTCACATGAATATCAAGCAAGACCAAGGCAGAAAGGGCAACATATTAGACTAAAATAATTTGGAATCTGTATTATAATCTGAATCCTGACTGTGAGTCTGATTACCAGCCTGCTTCTTTGGACTATACCGTACCATACATCTTTTCCCTAAGACACACCTGAACTCGATCCAGTCACCCCATGTACTAAAGATCCCTTGACACCCTTTACCAAAGACAGATTGGTGTTAGTGATGGTAAGTCTCCACTGTCTTCTCAGCTCCTATGATTCTGTGAGGGCCAGATTCCTCCCTGTCTATTGATAAAAATTGAATTTTACTGCAGACACATGCCATCTATTGTGAGCTCATCTCTAGAGAAAAAAAAAAATATGGCTGTGAGTTGGGAAGAAGTTCTTGACTATAAATCACATGGAACCTCTAGGGTATTTGAAAGGACGCAAAAGAAATAATCCTCCAAAAGACAAAGAGCTTCATGAAAGGCTTAATTTGGTAATCACCAAAACAGTTATCTAACCAAAATGCTTGTCTGCTTGAGTCATACACTGATTTAAAAATAAGTAACAAGCAGGACAGAAAGTAACTAGAAAATTACAATGTAATTTAATTTTTATATGGAGTATTTAATTTAAAAATATATTACAAAAGATTTTCGAACTCCTTTTGCAATATTTTGTACACTGGCTCCGTAACTGGCTTGCTTTACAAGGGAACTGTTGCAAATAGAAAAGTTGTGGCTTTGTTTCTCCTAACTGAATGATTTATTGTCTTCTGTAAATTGCTGCAATTTTTTCAGCATGCTTGTTTAGACTCCTGAAACTCTGATACAAACTGTGCCTGAAAGTAGCTGTTTACACATCCCAGTGAGCTACCGACTTTTTTAAAAAGACATTAAATATATGAATGAACTTTCCCACATGAACTCTTAGACAGCAGGAACTGAAAACAATGCTATATTTCTTTGGAAAGTTCACTTTCCTGTGCTTCTGAAGTAATGCCTCAGAAAGAATCCCCTGTTTCCCTTAGTTAGAAACAGAAAGGCGGATGATTTCTAATTTACACTTGGTGGTCAAAATCTGACTTGAGTGAAGTGGAAATTTTCAGAGCCAATATTTTGACTGACAAAATAATAGGCTGAGATACTTCTGTCACTTAATGAAATATTCTACCACTTCCTCTACAGAACAACACAGGCTTACAACTTGAAACGTGAATGTGAAACACAAATGCCAGAGAACATGTGCAGCAGCCTCTAGAAAATACCGCTTGTGTGGTCACATGCATAGATCTGATGCTTTCTCTATTGCCTCATCTGCACTGGTAGTAGTAACAGTGCTTATGTGTTTGCAGCACTCACCAATGACCACATTGCAACACCTAAGATTTAACAATGATGACAGGGCAATTTCTTTCACAACCAACATGCTGCCCATCCCGTATTAGACCACTGTGGGAAACCTCTGGGCAGGAAGCCTAAATAAGCAGGAAGTATTGCCTAAGGAATAAACAGCACATCGCAAGGCTATTGAGGATGACACAAGGCAACGTAACACAGTGTCCCACAATAAAGCACTTGAGGGCAGATGAAAGCCTGCAGAGTAGCACCACAACGTAGCAATTAGGGATTGTGGGGGGGCTGTCAGTCCCACAATATAACAGCATTAAAACTCATATGAGAATGTGGATGGCATTACCTGCCAGGATAGGTTTTTTAGAGTTAGTCACTCTGGTTATAAATTATACACCAGTCATGCTCTGCATGAACAAGTTTTCAGAGACAGCTGCACTTCCAAATACTGATCTATCCACCTTGCTGTAGCCAAGCACAAACACCTCTACTTCCAATAGCTGAAGCTAACTCTGTTTTGCAGAGGGCTTGATCGTGGTCAGTGCAAGCAAGTATTGTGCAAAGCAAAAAGCCAGAAGACTACACACACAGTCGACTACACACCAGAGGAAGTGCTGTGGTGGAAGTACATGTTACAATCTAAATTTTTAGGCAAACAGGAAAGGGCATGTTCAAGCTGCAGGCTCTGGTCATTACATCTTCTCAGATATTGTGGTGCTCTCCTACCCTGCTCCTTTTTAATTCTGCATGCTTGAGTATAAGAAATGGGACATACAAGAAAGCTGCCTAGGGCTGAGGACTTTGTGCTCCAGCAAAGCTCCGAGTTTGGTGTTAATTCCCTCAATTCCCACTGACACAGACTTGTAAGGCAGCTGTAACAGATACAGCTCACATCCATGTAACAGTATGCAATGGAGTTCCCACTAATGCAAAAACATTTCCCTCAACCACAACTTGACAGGTCAATGTTTTCTAAAGCCACCTGGCACTGGATGCTTCCAACGTCTGAACTCAGAAGCAACACTTACAGGATCTTAGCGTGGGCTTTGGTGCTGGTCACCAGCGTCAGATACAGCTCATTCTCATAGTGAGGGATGTCATCACAGTAAACAGCTTCTCCACATGCTTGTTTGGCTGCTGAAACGTGCATCAGGGGCCGACCCACCATATCTTCAACTGCCTGCCCCTTGGGCACTTCCTGGAACAAAACACATACTGACTACTGCTGCTTATGCTGCAGGGGACAGAAGCATTGATGGGAGAGCAAAAGGCAAGGTGAGACATTCTAGTGAGATGGGGAATGGGATGGAGGCTCAGTCCCATGGGAAAGCAAGCTAAACAAGATGGAGCAACTACACAGAGGAGGCTGTAGAGAATGAAGTGAAAAGAACAGGGTTTTTGAAACTGCTGTGGAAGAGAAGGGTCTGATCTGACAGCTTGCATAAAAGGTTCAAGTTCTACAGCTAGCTTCTACTCTCAAAGCTAAAACAGATTGTTAGTGGAGAAATAAGGAAGGAGATGTATCCTGAAGCCCAAGAGATGCAGAGAGACAGGCTGCAACCGTGGAAAGCGGGAGGGCAATTTCAGTTTGGATATAGAGGTGGATGCAGGAGAAAAGTGCTACCCACAGCAATTTTCATGAAGCTGTACACACCAGGAACAGTTTTGGGCAACAACAGGAAAGAACATTGTATCCTAAAGCAAGGAAGGGACTAAGACTCAAATACAAGCCTCTGGAATGGCATTATGTAGATACGTGTATTGTTCATCCTCAGGGAGAAAAAAAAGATAAGAAGCAGATAAGCTACAGAAAGACCCGGGTCTACATCATACAGGTTCTGCTACTTACTTGGAAGAGCTGGGCATTTGCAATGGGATCTTTGTGAAACAGCTCTGTAGCACTGATGTAGTTCGAGGGGACCGGCTCACACAGATTCTTCTGCCAGAGACATATTAAAGAAGAGTCATCTTCCCTGCCAGTAGCCCAAGATATTCTCTGTTCTCCAGTGAAGATAATTCATCTTTCACTGGGTGAAATGCAAACAGGGCTCAGGCTCTGTGCAAAGAACAGCCACAGACCCACAAGAGCAGTCGTAATGTAATGAAGGGGAGAAGTCCAGGAATCCTCCTGTGAACCCACAGCTCAGCATCCTTCCACAGCAAGGCGGGGATGCTACAAGGAAGCAAGTGGGAAGACACACTAGCCACTTTCATGCAGGTAAGGAGTAGAGTAGCTCTGGTACCGATTGCAACAGAGTTTGTTATCAGGTACAACTCCATTTGAATCTGAACTCCTGCCTTCCCCACCAAGACAGCCCAGACAAGTCCTCCTTCCCCAAATCCGCCTTCCCTAGCAGCACTCACAGTGCCATCGTGGTTCTTGCTTAGCTTCTGAAGGACTGTCAGGTAGAACTTGAAGAAGAAGCTGAGCGTGAGTGTGCGTCGGAAATCCACCATCCCACCAGGTGCAGAAGGAGACAGATCCATCTCACCCGCCAGTAAGTGGCAGGCATCCTGCAGCAGCTTCTCATTCCAGTCTCTGCAAGGGAACAAAGGTGACACAGAGCCCTTGCTCAGCCCTAAATATCACCAGGGCAGACTAACTCTTCTGACATGGCAGCCCCACAAGCTCTCAAGCAACAGCCACCTGTTCTATCTCTGTTTATAGTATATATGTCAGCTTTGCCCTCATCTTGGGCTCATGCCACCTTTTCTAAAGATGTGGTAAAGCTATTAAATATAAGGGCACAGATTTCTCAGTCGAGTTGGAAAGAAAATGTAGGTCCTACCCACATCTAGTTTCTGCCCACTTCAACAGATGAGTGAGTTCGGCAAGGAAGTTGAATGAGAGACTGACACGGATCTTTGAGAGTAAGGAGTACTTCAGGAAGCAAGGTATCACACAAAACGCAGACTGCTGAAGAAGTGTAGCTACATTTCTTCCCCTTTCTCCTTCTGTGTACAACCAGAGAGGATTTAGGGTATTTGAACTGCTCCTGCAAAAATCAGCACTGTTCCATTAGATAGTCCTTCCATCACAGAAAAATTCCTACCTGCCAGTGAGCTCCTGGCAAGTTTTTAGTGCCAGGACAGTTGTAGGAGCCATTCCTCCATAACTTAGTTTTATCTCCTCCACTCGGTTAGTGCCATCTTGGAACAGGACTCTCATCCCACAGGTCACAATAGCAATGTCATCCTCTCGACGGGAAGCCTGCTTGAAAGCTGAGAAGTATTCACCCTAGAAGACAGGAAAATATTTCTTCATTCTTTATCTTGGCATGCTTTGGAGTTTAAATATGGACAAGCTGTTAACCTATCTCTACATGGATAAGCTATTCCAGGGAACTGTATCTGGTTGATTCATCTTGCAGGGCCAAATAGGACATGTTTGTTCAGGCAATGCTTTATATTTTCACATGATTCAATAATTAATTCTAATATATTAGATCAGTGTCTATTAGCCAACCTAGGACTGTGTGGGAAATGAGATTTGACAGAGATCTGCTCATACCTGTCACATTTTTTTCCATGCCTTGAGAGGAAGAACCAGGACAGGTTTTGTGCATAAACAAGCTTATTGTTCCTCAGCAACTTTTCCTTTCTCCCAGGCTGCCAACCTGGAAGTCTAATCAGTAAAATTCATATTCTAAACCCCTTCCCTTCTTGCTTTTTCCTAAACCTTAGAACTCTGCAAGAACTGAAATCAGTAATCATGTGTCTCGCAGTTCTAGAGTAGACCAGATTAATTAATAAAAGACAATTTTGGTCTGTTGTTGCAAATACAATTCTCAGTAACTATCCTGAATCCTCTGGTCTCCACAGAGCAAGGAAATTCTTTTAAAAGCACCAGTGACTACTACTCACAAAACTCAGCAGCTCTCCTATGAAGAGTGGCAGTAAATATGAGATTAACAGTCTATCAGTATACGCCAAGTGATGGTGTCACCCTGGAGTCAGAGTCACAAGTTTTTCCCCTTGCCTGTCCTGCAGATTATGACAAATTGCTGTTCAGGCATCCTGCAGGCTAAGAGAGGAATCAGATCTGATGTCTTTGCATGGCCCTTCTGGAGAGTTTTCTGCCAAGTTTCTCCTCTAATAGCTTAGCCAAGTGACTCTGCACAGCACAGCACAGCAGTCTGTTCCATTATTTCTAATCAGAAGTGGGCAGCAATTCTTTCTTTATTGTAAAGAACAATTCTGCTATTGTTAGCAATGAGAACAGTTTCACAAGAGGCCCCTTTTGTGCATCGAGAATTTGTTACTGGAGATACAACTGAAGGGTGTATTTCATTTCCTGAATTCAAGTAATTAGCGGGCAGCCAGCAGATAATAGCAGAGGAACATCAATAGCATCCTCCCAATGAGGACATTCTGTCACTTTGCTTGTTAAAGAAATTAGCTTTCAAAAAGGAGAAAAAGCAGCCTCTTCTCTTACTGCACACTTCAGAGATGTTTTCCAATAATATGACTGCAACAAGAGGGCAATATTTGCCTTCACTCCTCACAAGACACCTTAGTTCTCTTTATACAGAGTCCTGTGGGAGAAAAGGCACTCACTATTTTTCCTCCCTAGGAGTGTAGGTAAAGCAGCCATCACATCAGCTGCCCATGTGTGCCCTACCTCTTGCTTAAACAGAGCATGTCCCTCCCTAAGAGAGAAAGCTCTTAGGTGGTAGTTATTCTCACAGGAAAACCAAGCAACCCTTACTTTCAAGGGCTGCATATTAGGCACCTAGAGTAGTATCCCCTTCCAGACAAGATGCAACACCAGGTAGGAGCACATTAAGAAATCCACAGGTTCTAGAAGATTCATAGGCAATATTCACAATTCCAAAAACATTGTTTCCATGTCATTTTTTTCAGTCCATCACTGTTGAATATAGAGATCAATAATGGATGAAGGTTGGAGGATACTAATTTAAAGGATGAAGTAAGACTTCATGACTGCTTTCTGTCTCTTTAACAGGGCAAAAATTGTGACACTATGACCCTATGATGGCAATATTGAGCAAACAGTAGATTAAGATTGTTTTCCAAAGATAGAAATATATAGGAATTGCATTGTCAGGCTTTTTCTATTTGAAAACGAGTAAATGTCTATGTAACACAGAATACTATTATCCTAAAAATTATGTAGCAGTGACAAAAGTAATAGAGAAAGATATATGCAAGGGAAAGAACAAAACCCTGATGGTCACTAAGTGAATAATAACACAAGTGATGCATAACATTTGTGACCATTACCTGGAACACAAGGAAAGTTTTTATAGTCCAGAAGAGAAAGAGGGCTGTTAAATAAAGGATATGCCCTGTTCTGGGAATGCCTTGTTATATATAAAAAGCTAGGCAGTTTTCTTTTCTGGAATCTCTTTATATTTTATCTTTAATCCAGTGAGCTGTTTCCTTTTCTAAATATTGTCTTTGCTCAGCTGCAATCCCCTTAAAAGTACAGACTCAAAGATCTTTATTCCCTGAATGTCTTACATACCTGACACACGAACTAGCAGGAGAAAAAGGTGTTACCTCCTCTCCCTTAACAACTTCTTTGTGATAAAGCCTTCCCTGCACTCAGTCCTCCTACAGTAACACTGACTCATGTAAACTGCTAATTCTGTTCTTCAGCCAGTCTTACCTTTGTTGTGACAAGTCACATCAATGCAAGATGTAACATCAGTTTTAAACAAATATAAACAAACAAAAAAAATTATTTAGCTGTGTGCTGACACAGCCCTGCTTACAGTTGTCAGGAAATCACAGTTCCAGAAGACTTTGCCTGCCACATGCCAGCACTTTCAGACATCCCCTGAAGAACTTTAGTCTCCCTGACTTCAAGTTTGTGAGCAAAGATCAGCCAAGAAACCATGAAGTAGAGAGTTCAAAAGTTGTTTTAGTTTTTCAGATCAATGAGCTGCATATAACCTAGGGATGAAAACATTGCCCTGCTGGTAAACATTTGTTTGTTTTGTGAAATTGCCATATGACCATCATGTGGATGGAGGAATATGGTGTTTTCCATTGATTACCTCAAGCATGTTTCTTATTTTGACAAAAAGCAATGCTTCCTGCAATTATCACAAGATCAAAGAACAGTCACTCAGAAACAGATGGGAAAACTTCATAAATAAAATAGCTGTGTTTCCTTAACAGTTAGATACAGAAGTTAGAGAGGACAGATAAAGAATTTATTGGTTCTATCCCATAATACGATGGCATTTCAAGTAAGTCTGTTTTCCATTTATAAAGAAAGTGTGTCTTAAACTGTGAATCCTTGCATCTTACAGCCTCAAGCCCTAAAACATAAATACCTTCACAGACAAAAAAATTACAGTCTGATGTTCTCAGCCTTAAAGGGGTGGGGGGAGAGAGTTTTACCTCTTAGACACTCCGAATCAGTTAGGGTTCATGCTGCTATAGAAGAGAAGTGCTCATTGTTCTATTCAAAGGAAGTTTTGCAGGCTCATTTGAAGTTGCAAGCCCATATTGCCAAAATGTCCTAATAATCAGTCCTTGTGGTTTCAGTCTTGCAAGGCAAGGATGCAGAAACTGAACTTCCCTCTTATCTGTACACGCTTTCCCCCATTTCTTTTCCCATTTCACTTCACAGAAATGAAGCAGGAACCTCATGATCCTTCACTTCAGGAACTGCAGCATCTTTGCTGTACTATTTTGCAAACAGAACTTAGACCTCTGGGAATATCACTTTGTCACCTTTCATCATTACCAAATGCACTCAATAAGCTACACACAATAAAGTGAAATTTATATTTCTTGCACTAGAAAGTTTCTTGGGCTTACTGTACTTTATCACGGAGCCCAGCTCCCCTTGCGTGTCAAAAAAGAGTACATTGCTAGATTTTCAGCAAGTATTTTACTTGCTTCCTGGTCCACTTGAGACTACATAATGCATAAGTATTTGGAGGTCAGTCTCTAAGGAAAAGAGTGCCTAACATTGAAAATAACACTCAAATAACATAATTTTATCTCCACAGACATTGAAGTCTTTTCCTGCAAGCTTACCTTCCTGCTGTAGGGGATTTCAACAGAGAGAAGTATCTCTTCAGGCTTAACTATTGTCTTTCTGTATCCAGTGAAAAACTTCTCATCCATTGTGATAGTCCTTTTGCCCTCTGCAGAGCAAGTAGAGATCAATGGCAGATGAATGAATAACTCAGATCAATAAGAGAATAGTATGTGTGAAAGAGCCTTCAGTCTACACAAACCACTCTTGATATGACACCAGTTTTCATTTTTCCACCCTCGTTGACCAAATCAGGAAGGATTTTCTCAGATTTATTTTGGTACTTGTGGAATCTATAATAGCTTCTGCCTACATACAAAGTTTTATGTGCACAGGAAATGTGCACATAAAGATCAAAGAAACCTCCCTCCCCCTTTATCTAATTAAAGCTGAGGCTTCAGGTGAACCAGTTTCCAACACCCCAGTGTAATTCCCTCTTTCCCCTTTCCTTAGCCTGCACACAGACCAGTACAAGAAAAAGTCACTGATCAGAGAGTCCACTTACTTCAAGGAACCTATTGCAAAAAAAAATTCTTCCCAAGAGGAAATACAAATTGAGACATTTGGCTTCTTTAGAGAGAAAAAAACAAACAAACAAACAAAAAAAACCCAGACCAGTTTCAATCTTTATCTGTAAAATCCACAAGGATCAAAGTATGATAGTGACCAGAAACAACTTCATGCCCATTGTTTTTCAAATAGATGTCTTCAATCAGCTCTTCACAAGGATGTGTCTACATACACAGTACCAGAGATTCATTCTGCCACAAAAGTTCAAAATTCTTTAGGAAGCCAACCTTAGGCCTAGCCTTAGGACTTCAGACTCAAAAAGGGCAAAACCCCTGAAGATTCAGACTAAGCTTATTTTATGTAATGTTAACTTCCACTTTCAAGTTCTGACCTGACCTAACAATCCATGGCAGAGGACTGTTGACTATCTCATTCCTCCCATTGCCAGAAGGGAATGTAAGTAACTTACCATTTGATGCCAGAGTCAGCTTGCTTCCACTTGCCATTAACACAGGATTTAAGTCAGAAATTGGGCTTGCTGTCATTATGTTCCCTCCAAGAGCCTAGAGTGATAATATATGCATCAGACAAATATTTAGAAACCTGAAGATACAGCCATAGCACTTGTAATCCTGCATTACTCCAAACACAGTCCACTGGAGGCTAGCTCTGCTTGAGTTTGCTTTGATAAATTATTTTTGCCCACTCAGCAATTTTAAGCCTTGAATGAAGTGGGAAAACATAAAAGCCATGAACTCAGTTGCTGTCCCAGTCAATACTAGTGTTTGCCTGAAACAGTTTTAGGAACAGTCTTTGGGTAATGCATCCGAACTACCCTGTGCTCAAACCATGTACGCTCAACAATGCCAAATTCTATCACTGTAGCTGCAATTAAGGGAAGATCCATTAAAGTATTGAGCATCTTTTCAGTAAGTCAGGAACACACGTTTTTTGGCTGCAATATAAACGTGTGGCACAGTATCTTGTGGAACAAAATTTTGTGTTTGGTAGGCTGGTTCATTGATCTATTTTCTTTTAGTATATGGAATTTGAACACAACAAACCCACCTCTTCTTTCCTTTTAAAATTAGAGGAAATTTGCCAGATCTGATGCATTAACACTACGACTATCACGGTTGTGCTGGCAGAAATCTACACATCTGCTTCTTTTAAGTTTGTCCAGCACTCTAAATAAATTTTTGTCAAGTTAGTCAAATCTCACTACAGTTTCGCCCACTTATCTTGATAAAAATGATGGAAGACCTGGACAACTGTCATGTTTCCCTTGCTTGCCAGACATTTGATATCAGCATAGCACAGACACCAGCTAAGACCTATGTTGCTATCGGTTTCTGGGGTTGGTTTACACATACTAGCTTCTTTGCCTAGAGTTGCAGATGTTCTTGTGTTGAGAATCACAAGGCACACCAACACTGGATGAGGCAGGCCAGCTCCTCAGATTGAGCTTTCAATTCCAGTCCCTGAATGCTCCTGAGTCACTTACGGCAACGTTCCTGATCTGTGGCCCTGCAAACCACCGTAACTGCTCAAGGACAGCCTGGAAGACCTCTGTTTTGTAAGGAGGAAGCTCTGCCACTGTTTTTCTCAGCACCTCCTCTACTGAGCTCAGGGTACAGGCAGCGCCAAAGGTGACCCCTGTAAACAAACAAATGAAAATAACTGTTGTTCTCCCAAATACCAATGTAGAGGAGGATGGTTATATAACCATGTCTACAAAGCTTACATGCCACTGAGTTTAATTAGACAGCAGGGTTTACAGAAGACATACAGTCACACTGGACTATTTTGTATGCACTGCATGTAAACATCACATCCTCAGAGCAAAATTCACCTTTAAATCACAGCTCATGGTGGTACTGCCTCTCACATGGCAGCAACCCACAGCCCTTTTGCCTCAGGATATCATGAATGATGTTGCCCTCCTATGGCTATTAGTTTGTCCTTTGACAAGTGAGCTCCAACTCCTGTCCAGTTTCCACACCTTAAACGTGCTACCAGGCACTGGCCACGTGCACTACGTTGTCCTAATTACTTTTAACTATATGTAAGGTTGACTTGTTTCCACCATGAAGATAAATGCAATACTTAGTCACTTAGACTGTCAAATCCAGCATCTTTTCCCCAGTTACTATTTTTCAAATCTTTCTAAATAAAAAGATTGCCCATTGACACCCATTATTAACCCGGTTAATATACGCAAAACAGTGGGCACCAAACAGATAAAATGTCTATTATACCACCTCCTAGTGAAAGCCCTCTTTGCTTCTCCATTTATTTTTACATATCACTCACTTAATTCCCTGCATGGGAGAGGCACTAATGCATACAGAAAGCAGTTTTTAATCTGGAGGTGGAGTCCCCACTCATTTCACAGGCATTCTGCCTCTTTTTTACTCACCTGTTTCAGTGTGCTGAACAGCATTCATTTCAGAGATCCATGCTGGTGCTATTATCACTGGATACAGCATGTTCTTTAACCTCATCTCAATACCTTAAGGAAAAGTAAATTTCCTACAGTTACACACATGTGACAGAGAGTCTAAGTTAACTGTTTCCCAATGAAACAGCAGCAGGCTGTTAAAGAGTCAGTTCATTGACCATCTATTACACAGATTCTATAAGGTCACAGAGATACCAAACTGAAAGCTGTTTTCCACTAATACCAGAATTTTCTCAGAGGGAAGCTGTAGAGATTCTTTTCTAGGCTTACAGTAACCTCAAATACACTGTTTAGTACTTGCGTAACCTGGCTATTGTTGTACCTAATCCTTCATGAAAAAACAATGAATACAGTGAACCATACCAAGTTTGGGGATTGCCTCCTGAATCAATTGCTCAGGAGATTAGAATTAGTAAATAGGTCTGAACTCTTCCTCAGCACCTATGTTTGCAGAAGTATATATTTTTGGGGAAAAAACACTAAGATTCCAAGTCTTGAGAGTTTACTCACTGAAAAATCTTTTAAAACACAGGTTTCACAACTTAATTCATTTTATTAAGAGGACATTTTACACCGTGCCACTCCTCTCTTCTCAAAATTCCACAAAACTAGCACAAAAGCTCAGATGTCTAGATAAACTTTTTTTTTTCCTAACACAGAAGAGGGAAAAATATTCACTGTGAGATTAATCTACCTGAGAAGAAAATTTGTTCTTACATACAACCTGAAGATTCAACAGCTTTTTAACAGCAATGGCATGAAGGTGGTTTACAAAATACCCCATGGAAAGTTTTTCAACTGCTCATAATGAGCATCACCTCTTCCTCTTACCCACTTCCGTGTTCCCCACAACGAGCTTAGCATTGGGGTACTGGGATTTGAGAGCCACCAGTTCCTTGAGAGTCGTAGGCTGGATCCAAGTCACACGCTCGCCTTTGAAACACAGCTGTTTCTGCTGTTTGTTACTCTGAGTCTGCAAAAGTGAATTCAGATAGTGCTCAGACCCTACATGAAGCCAAGAATCCCTGCTCACATGCTGCCCATGCCTATGCCAAGCTCCATCTCAGTCAAGTTACCAACAGGTGGCTGTGACATCCACCGTCTTGTTGGCAGTTAGCCATCACCCATCCTTCTACTAGCAGTGACAAGTGTCTTTTTCATGCTGACAAAAGTTTTTCCTTCCTGATACTGCCAGGTGCATCTTGCTGCCACATCTCCCTAGAAAGACCTCTGCCAGCAAGCTCCATCTGACCAAAGCTCTGGCACATGCCTGTGGTTCCAGTCATCTAAGAAGTACTGGGTTTTCCACTCTCATCTCACTGCAAAAACGTTAGTCTTTATCACTGCTGAATTTGAGTTACCAGCTGTAAGGCCAGATCCTGGTTTCATTTTTAATTCCTTCATCCAGTGACTGAAGAAAACAGACTAACATGGCTGCATCCCACCAACATCAAATCAACCCTTAGGCAGCAGAACATCTTAGAGAAGAAAACGAGGGGCTCTATCTCAAGCTAAATATATATTATTCTATGGTCTATGACAACCTACTCCTGCTGTAGCTCATGACACATTTTAGGCTGAGTGCAGCAGCAGAACTAACAACTGTATTTCATTTGTTTGTTCCATGTGAAGGAAGCTGTAAACATGCTATGTGCTGGACTAGATTCCTAGCTGGGACACATTTGCTTAGGGGAAAGCTACCCCAAAAAAAAGACAGGAATGAAACATGGAGAGAAACTCATCTCACCTAACTTTTGATGTCAGTGTGAGCCAGCCAACTTCTACTCCTGCTATAATGAGTAGAGAGAAGTTGGCACTTTTGGGAAGTCATGTAGTTGAAACATATTCAGCCACATCCCACAGCTCCTACTTTTCTTCCTACACTATGAAAGGAGCACAGGGTGATTAGCTCAGATACGGCTGCTTTAATATAGAAGTTCACGACTGAGCTAGTAAATTGAAATCTAGATGTCAGAAACTGTTCCATCCCTGAATAAACAGTGAGTTGAAAGGAAGGCAACCAAAGAGCAGACATGTATGGTGAGAAACAGAAAAGCCAGCCAGCTGGGGCAGGCACTTGGCCTGCATATCTCTTAAGCCACCCTGGCTTAAAAGCCTTCCCTTTTATAAAGCAGGGAAGCGCTCTTGCCCATGCATCTCCTTTTATCAGTAGCCATCTTCTGCGCTGCCATTTCCTCAGGGCAGAGACACTGCAGACAGTCAAACTCTGTGCAGAACAACAAAACCAACGAACCACATACTATTTTATTTTGAACTTACCATTAACTCTGGTGGGAAGATTGGCTCCTGGGTAGGGTCCAGTGGCTGGAACTCAGAAGAACTGAACAGGCTGGAGGACATCATTGTCTATGGCAGAGAAAATGCAAATGGCTGGGCAGCAGAGGAGAAAGCTATCCACATACAACCCTAACTCGTTCCTCTTTCCAGTCAAATCCCTATTACTATTTCATGGAACAAAGAATAGCAAAGACAGAAAAAAGATGCTACCTGATCCAGCGTTTCAGGTTCTTCGGACATATTTTTCTAATCACAATGCATGTCTGGTCAGAATCCCGAACACACTAACAGGTTTTTGCCAATCAAAAGTTACATCATTTTCACATCAGCACGTTAAATTACATCAAAGGTACCTTTTCTGCGGTAAAACCAGCATAAAATATAAATTGGTCTAAACTGCTTTGCATAAATACAGCTAAATTAAAAGTACTGGGCTTTGACACAGAACAAACCAGAGCTGAGACTTCAAAACATCAGAAATAGAAGGGAAAAAAAAATATATTTGCGAGGCACCTTACCACATTGTCTTCTTTTCCATTCATGCAACAGCCTGGACCATTGGCTTTTCCTCCACAGCAGTCCCCATTCTGAAGAAACAAACACACTTCAGCTATTCTACACAAAGTCAGACCATTGTTACTTCCACAGGATATATTCCTCCCCTTTCATCAATCCTTGGATCACAGAAATTTGTGGTAACATTTTTCATTAATAAGCCATTTGACAAAAGAACTCCAAGCAGCCTTAAATTGCTGGAGTATTCCACACAACACCGGATGCTTCCTAACAAAGAACCCACAATAATTCACTATAATTTTCTGGCAAATAATTTAAATATATTCTCTCCTTCCTAAATTCATTTTATATTCACACTATTTTATGTCCTAATTTATTGTTTTCATTCCTCCATTGTTTTTACCTCAACTGGTATATAAAATGTGATTAACTTTTTTTTCTCCATATATTCCAGAAGGTTCCAATTGTACAGTTTATTGGAATGGTGATTAAATTACTTCATTCATCATTGGACTGCAAAGTTTGTGAAAGATCATACTGGAGAATTAACTGCTTTTTAGATCTGTTTTCACAGAAAGATGGATCACTTCAATAAACCAGAAGCTGGTAACATATTATTTACATTTGTCATCATGCTATTTAACAAAAGTGTTGGAACTCACAGATTCAGAAGGAACACAACTAGCTCACTATTGTAAAACCTGTGTCATGACAGCTAGTCATGCTAACCAGGATACATGCAGTCGCAGTGTTTCCCAAGAGGCAGACATTCAGACCAGCTCAGATGGCTCTAAATATCTGCACCTCAGTAGAGCCAGAGAGGTGACTAATACATCAAAACTCTAATACTATATCACAAATTGAGGTTATGGCTTTTAAAATTCAGCTTACCATGCTATTTTCCCTCTCACTGCGACAGCATCCAGTGCCATTGGCTACTCTGCCACAGCAATTCAAGTCCTGTGGGGATAAGAACTGTTCTGAGAAAAATGTGCAGATTCCAAGGAAATGAAGTAGACTTGATTCCCTTTTGGGAGAAATTGATCCCACATTTATTACATCCAAAGTAGAAATGGGAGATGGAAGATGCCAAGCAAGTAGGTGTTTCCCTTGCCAACAGAAGACAGTATCCTTCAGTGTGATGGTTAGGTCATGTCCAGTCTACTAAACCAGAACAAGAGGCCTATCAGAACTACTCTGACCATTCAGTCAGTATCTCTGGTCCAGCTGGAGCTGTGAGGAGATACCTAGAGAAGAGGAAAGGGGTCAAGCACTTACAATGCCTAGTACTCTACCAGTATCCAATTGCATTCAGCTCAGGGCACTACCTTACCCAGTGTGGTTTCTGTCACTTCAGTAACCCTCAGTAGCACTCCATCCAAGTACCTGCTCAGTCTCCCATGGAGTCTAAGTTTTTGGTGCCCAGAACACCCTTTGGTGAGTTCTGCAGGTCAGAGACCTGGTATGTGCCAGACCATCTGCCTTTTTTTCATTTTCAACCTAACTCCTACTAGTTTAGCTTCTTGACACCTTGCTCTTGTATTGGAAGAAGTAGCAAACAGCAAATGCCGGTCCACATTCCACCTGACATTCACAATTTTGTAGATCTCTATCAGAGGTCAACACAAAACACTACATGGGCTATGTAGAGCCCCTTCTCCTCCCTGACATCTTTTTTACAGGCTGAAGCATCCCAGCCTACTCAGTGCTTCCTTGTATAGAAGCCAGATTACCACAGATGTGATCCTTATTCCATTTCTTTGAATCTTTTCCTGTTCTGCTATACCCTACCAGAGACGAGAGGACCAGAACTGCAGAGAGTACTCAAGTGTAGGAAGAGCCATGATGCACACAGTGGTATGGCAGTGTCTTCTGTTTTGTTCTCTACTCTTTGAAGTGTTGACTGCCAGTGAGCATTGAACTGATGCTTCCGTGGAACTGTCTACCAAGTTCATCTTGGTAGAGAAACCATGGAACAGGAAGATGACCTGTGTCTGCTCAGCTTCTAATTTTATATGTGATTGCCTTTCACTCTGTAAATTACTTTGTGTTTATTTGCCCTGAATTTTGTATCCCATTCTATTCTCCAGTTTCTCAGGTTCATAAAGTCCTTCTGAAATTCCTCAGAGTCTGTTCCTGTTGTCACTACCTAGACTAACTTGATATCAGTTAACTTACTTTCTCACATTACTCCTCACTCTTTTCTACTTCATTTAGGGATATCTTGAACAGCCTTGCTCCCACCACAGGTCCAAGCAGAATTCCACCAGTGACCTCCCTCCATTTCAAAAATACACCATTTTCTCCTACCTGTCATTTCCTGCCTTTTAACCAATCTTTCATCCATACAGAGATCTTCCCTCTTACCCCATGGCTGCTTATTGTCTTTAAAAGCCTTTGGTGAGACAATGTTGAAAGCCTGTTGGAAATCCAAGTAGACTATATCGACTGGGTTTATCAACCATTTGTAATGGATCTCACTCCTGCTTGTATTCTCTTTTGTTGATCGTAATTCTGGATAATAAAATGAAATTAATGGGCAGCATTCTAAATTCTTTACTTTTGATATTTAATAACAGTGTAGCCCCATACGTGGCTAGTAATCACTGAAGTACCTAATGATCTACTTTTCTTCACAGCCTCCAGCAGTCTTTCAGGAAGAGAGGGACTAGAGAAAACTTAAGGCAAAGCTTTGTACCTCACCCAAACCAGCAGATGAGTTCTGGGTAAGAGCTATACAGCAGTGACTTCAACTTCTTTCCAGAGCTATATCAGCTCTGCAGCTGATCTTTCAAGAGAGCAACTTTCTCATCAGATTCCCCCACAGGATATCCCTATTCATGCACTGTACTTTTACATTTTTTCCACATCAGGGATCATCTGCAAGCTGTATTATGCAGAAATGTTGAGTTTTCCAAATACTTAACAAAAAAGAATTACAGGGTCTGATTACCTGTGATCCAGAAAGGGACCATCAGGCAGATCTTATTAATGTGCTCCACTTCCAGCAACTGGAGCAAGGGAGCCGGTCATCTTGTATCATTCATGTATGAAGCACATACAAAAGGGTCAAGTGTTGGAGCTGGGTTGTTGCAGCATGAATGTTTCCTTCCTCCCCATTTCAGCTCATGGTGTATTATAGTAACAGAGGGAAAGACAGCCAGCCTGCCAGATTTTTTTAAACATTATCTGAAGCCACTTACTTTAGCAAATGTCCTGTATCCTTCCAGAATGGGTCTGTATCCTGTACACCGACACAAGTTCCCTGCATTGCCAGAGCAAAAGGTTAAAGATTTAGCATCATTTGGCTGAGAACTTATCTTCTTTTAGAAGATGTTATTGCTTCTCACAAAAGCTTGTCAAATCTAGATAAAGCTAATGAAAAAACTGTGAGGGGGGAAAAAATCTGTTACCACAATCATATCATCCCTTTTTGTTGAAATTTTAAATCAAAAATAATTTAGGAAAAAATTCAATCCATCTTATTCAGTATTCATTTACCTCAATTGTGAGTCTAACCAGTATACCAAATATCTGGTCTCCTGAATTACAAAGAATTACCATCTCCTGCATCTGATTTTCTCTCAGGTCACTGCCAGAAGCCTGGTAACAGCTCTACCCTCAGCAATAACAGCAGGCTCTCAGATGATGTACACAGCTGGATTCTGCCCCACTCCATCATCCATATTGCTGTCTTGGTCCTTGAGGTTGGTTGGCCCAGATGCTCTGTCACCTCTGCAGGCTTTTGTGACAGTAATGAATAAACAAGGAGATGTGGAAGCTCTTATAAGGCCCCTAGGGATAGGCCATCTTTGTTCTGTGTTAAGCTTAGTGGGGTTCTAATGCAAGACTGAGGCCACTTGCCCCTGCTTCAGGATAAACAACGAGCTTCTGTGAAATTTTCCACAGACAATTTTTGTTCACTTCATAGCACCTGGCCAGTCTCCTAGTGGAAAAGCTTGTTCTTAACCTTGTAACAATCGGCTATCTTTAACAAAACACATTAAACAAAGGTGGACCTCCATCCCATTTGGTGAAGCAAATGTAATGAAAGAATAGGTTGCATCTCTGAAGGGCTATGAGTATTACCTTGGAAAGCATCTTCTATGTCCTCCATTTTGGGCTCGGGTTTGTTTCGAAGCAGCGTATACATGGACATGACAATGCCTGGAGTGCAAAAGCCACATTGGGACCCATGACTTTTTGCTATTCTCTCCTGAGAAAAAGTAACAAAAACCTTCAGCTCATAATATCAATGTTAGTTCATTGTTGTGTTTGTTTCTGTAACACCTCTTAAAAAAAGCCCCAACAATCCCACCAGGGGAGCCAAGAGTATCATCAGATGTTTTCTGATGAAACGGTCAATTAATCTGTGAAGCAGACTTCTAAGAGAACACTGAAAAGTTTGCATCTAGGCTTTGAATTCCCAATATAACTGAAGGCAACAAGAATCCTCCAATGTGATCAGGAATTCTTCAGATTTACCATGCTAGAAAGGTTGGGGCTATTTGTATAGACCTGAGTTTGAATTTCAAAGCTTATCTGCTAGAGTCTTTAAAAGAGGTAGCAAAAAGATGACAAACAAACAAAGGTCAGACTAGCTGCCATCCATTCATGCATGTCTAACTTATTTTTCACTTTGTTGTTTACCATCTCAGATAAGTATTGGCTCAAGTCCTACCCACTGTACAAACTGAGATGAATCATAGTTTCCCTTAAAGGAGCAGTATCTCAGACAAAGCTGAGGCAAGTCTGCTTCCATAAAAGTGCTAGAAGAGCAAGGCTTCACATTCCTGTCACTCTTCCCCACCAAGAATATCTGTGACTCTAGAAACACTGATGAACCAAACCTCATTGCACCACTGCACCACCTAACTATGCAGGATGAGAAACCAAGGTCATTCATAGAAGGCCATAGGAGAGCCAAAATCTAATTCAGATTTCCAGTCTCCAAGTCATTATACAGGCTTTCACCACATCAGTCTTCCCTGTTCCTAGAATTTGTTCCAGGATGTGGACCAAATACAGCCACATAGTTCTAGAACAAAAGCATTAGCAATTCAGCCAGGACAGCACCAGTTAACTTGTTAGGGCATAACAGAGCTGCAGCATTGATCCAGGAGTTTGATTCCATCACTTAGTCATTCCTGCAAGTAAAGACTACTCATGTGGAAAGTCAAACTCTTGTCTTTAACGTTATGATGGAGGTCCCAACACCCTGGAACAGGATTAATTAACATAAGAAGAAAACATGTTTTAAAGTTACCAGTATTAACAGTTTACCTGGGCTGGGTGCAGTCTGGATTTTGTGTTTCCTATGCCTTCAACAGTAGTTACAGCTACGTGATGCAGGGCACAGACAGGGAAGAGGCAAGCATTGGCAGTATGGTGGCTAAAACAGTAAATTAAGGTCATTTCATGTGACAGTGCTGCTCAACAAAGGAAAAAGGGAACAGGAGAACTGAAGAGTACTCAGAAACTGTAGCAGTGGACATAATAGGAGAACTTAAATAGATATAATACAGGTATTAGTTACAAGCCAAATCCTACAGCACCTACTCATCCAAAGTTGTCATCAACTTCACTTGAATTTTCAACTGAATCTGTAATTTTAAACTGAGTATGCCCCATAGGATTTGACCTAGAAATAACACTAAACATCCTCATTCCATGTTAAACTGGGACTAGCTACTTTTTTTCATTTATATCAGGACAGAATAATGACCCTAAAGATATCTTATTCAAGGAAACATTACTAAGCAGAACCATTAAGTTAGATGATCCTAAGTTAAAGTATCTCCAAGCATTATTCCAAATATATCCAAGATTTCAGTGCTTTCCATTCCCCACAGAAAAAATAAACTAGGGCCCGTTCCTCTGCCTCACACTCTCTCTCCATTCCCCTTTTTGTTCAATTCCATTGCTTCACTCTTCAATTAATTAAAGAGAGAACAGGAGGAAAGTTTATGTCTCAGGAAACAAGAGTTATTCTGAAGGTTATAATAGAAGTAGAGAAAAAGTGAATATCTGCTAGCATCCAGAAACCCAATTATTGTAGTAACGCAATAGCAAGAAAGATTTTATCACAGTAATCATTATTTGGGTCATCACAGCAAAAAGTTATATTGCCAGAAAGAAACATAAGGTTTTCTGAACTAGCCTGTGTGCTAGAGTCAGTACAAATATTTCAGGGCACAATTAAATAATTCTCTATCAGCACTGTGCAATGCTGTAGGAAAAAATAGCTTCTTGTCTCAGCCTTCTGAATATATTTTCTGAAAGTGAAAAATTACATTTTGGCAGAAACATACATTATATAATTTTTCTTTTTAAATAGTACCACATCTGGAATGTCAAGAACCTGGAACTGTTCCCATTTCATTACTCTGTTGAAGAGTTCAGATTGCAAAGGATACAGGATTTTCTTCCTAAAGGGATCATACTTGGATATCATAACAGTGCAAGCACCACATCCACCTTCTCCACAGCCTAGTTTGGTTCCACATAGGCCCACTGAGAGAACAGGAATCAAGGAAAACATGAAGAGCGTTGGCAGAAACCTGCTCAAACAGTTGTCCATCAAGGCTTAGCAACAAGTTATTCCTGGAACCCAAGCACTCATTTTTTCTGTTTAATAACTTATTTAACATAAGCAAAGTTTCACATGCTGGCATGTGAGCTTTAAGATCAACACCCAAAGCCCTAATAAGCAGGCAGTTGACATTCCAATAGACTCTTAGAATAAACAAGACATTTCTGAACTTCAACAGTTCCCACTTTCCATTAGACTCAGAAAAGGAAATGACATATGGGAGACAAAGAACACAGTAACTGCTGAGCAGGAGCTGTTCAGGCATTCAGGCACACCCCTGAGATGCATGGTGACATCTGCTTCAGCACCTCTCACCAGTGTTGGTGGACTTCTTCCTACACCTGCTGGTTCCTACCAGCTAGAAAGTGCCCAGGCAGGGGAGTCACACAGTGCTACAAGTCACACAGTTTATCACTGACATGGGAGCTGCACTTGAACTGCTCACAAGCTACCTGCATCTCAAGAATCATGGTCTGGCCACCCTAGCTTCTCTCTTGGCCTCATTTATGATGACTTCCCAAGCAATGGGGAAATCTAGGGACAAAACCAGTCAACCACACTCCCCAGTAGCTTGGTTCCCATAAAACCATAGGAGAGAGACACTGAGCCAGAAGTAGCAGAGATGCACAGAATCTCTGCACAGACACCTGGGAATCCACAAAGTGTATGGACTGGCCTAAGCAGATTCCTCCACAGGCTGCAGAGCACATGTCTGTACTTTTTCAATCAGGAATTACATCAAATATTCTGCAAAGGGATTTCAGGAAATAATTCCTCAGGTCACTTCTGCTTTGGGTTCTTTCACTCATTAGAGGGTAATTAGACTGCTGTTATTTATTGTGAAGGGGACTGGCCAATGCAGAGAGACTTTTGGTAGGAAAAGAACAGGTCCTTTCAGTGGCAATGAAAACATGCTTGAACTGAGATAATCAGAATTATGTCTGTTGCTTCCCCACAGGCTTATGACATAGGGAACTCAAATCATCTTTGCCTTCACTACAGGGATTCTAGATCTAACTGTTTTCATAAAATCATGTACCTGCTTCAGCAAAAATATAGTTTTCTTATGGCAGCCAATGCTTGTCTTGACAACAGTGCTTATCTGCCTCAATAAAACATGTTTCTCAGAGTATTTGTCTGACCCTAGCCAGACATCTACAAAATAAGTTCAGCAGAATGTTCAGGCAGAAGATCAGAAGGTTTTGAAGAGCTCGGATTATCTCCTTACAAAGCCATACACATTAGATATTAACAAGCTTAGACATAAAAGGTCTAGCAGTAAAAAGTGCACATAGGCCACTTATTTTCCCTCTTGAACTTTATCCACCCAAGACAAAATAGAGCTGTTGATAGTTCTGCTGGAAACTCCAGAGAGGAGTGGGATTTAAATCCCCATACTTCTTTCAGATCCCAGACAAACAGAACATGGCAGCGTGGTGAAATAAGTATGCACGATTCTTTTTTAAGGATGTGAACACTTTGGCATATGTACACACCCAGCTGGTCAGACAAAAACCTCAGAAAACATGGAATGACATTACCTACTGAACCAGACCTAGTATAGCCAGCCCGGTCATCACAGTAATAGCTACCCAGCTCCCAAAGCTCATCTGACTCATGTGTTGACCAGTTTCAAACAGGAGTGAAACGTGACTGCTTGCATCCACTCATGTGAACACACCCACTGTATGTGGTGGGAACCTCTGCTTCTGAGTTTGCATCCCTGGATCATCTGATAAACAGGCCACAGGATAACCAAGTTATTGGACATTAACTATCCAGTAATATCCAAATTATTGGATGATACAGCAAGCAGCTCAAGTGGCTGTAACATTTTAGCCAGAAAATTCTTTACAATTTTTGTGGAACAAACTTAAATTTCCTTCAATTTTGTTGTCTCAATATTGCTTTCTTTCCAACATATTGTAATTCCTAGCAATTCTGAGAGTTTTCCCTTTAAAGTGTTAATAAATTATTTAAGGTTTAGATAAAGTATATTATTTAAAATTTGCTATCAAGCTTGGAATATCACCTGTAATCTTTGCCAGCAAGAAATACCAGACCATGCAGAGCACTCCCTCCTAAACTCTGTGCACAAGCTCTGCCTAGCACTCAAGTGGCAAGCAGAACAGTAAACAATTATGAAATGCTGTAGGCATTTAAAGCCTTCTGCAGTTTCTTCTGACACTGGATACATTTTCTTCGTAGATAGGTTAGCAGGGTTGTTTCTGGGTCCACATCTTTTTCCACCACCTGCAAGAAGAGAAAAGTACCGTTACACACAGAATGCTTTACAACACAGATATGTTAGTTGGAAAGAGAAAATTTGGTCTTTCTGCAACTTCTTTTAAAAAGCAGGGAGCAAAATCACTGATTAACTCCACTTACTAGGTTTAGCAATGTTAGTCATTTATTCAGACATGTTTCCTTGAATTTATTGTGACAAAGTATATTCACTACATACATTTTTCAGCCATAGCACAACTGAGGCAAATCTTAAAAAAAAAACTTTAATCAAAAACAGCAAATAGATTTAGTAGTGAGCAGAGATAGAAAGAAATGTGCTTTGTACTTGAGTTTTGAATTCTTCACATATCCTCAAATTGCATCTCATCTTTATTGATCATGCATAACTGACCCCTGCCCCTTTTCCTTCTTACTTAATTTAGAAGAGACAGAGAAAAACAGATAAACAGAATGACAGAAACAGCATCAGTAATGGACTTTGAAGAGGGGAGGGGAAAGAAAGCAAACAAAAAACCCACAGAAACATAACAGTAGAAAAGCTAACATGACCAAGACAGGTGCTGCAGGACAGACAGTAAGTACTAATCATCTTGATGTTTGTCTTTCTTCCCTGCTAATGCTAAATCAGTGTTACATTAGTAGACATTCTGGATGTGGGAATGTGAAATTCCAACCAAAGAGGAATTTTCTCTGCACATTCCAAGTCAGCTCCATCCTATCAGTGAACAACACTATTAGCAGTTATCTATTAGACATAAATTTAGATTTTACTTCAACCTCTGCCCAGTGGTCAGAAACCAAAGTTCTGCCCTTGCCTCCAAATGGCCGCAGAGCTTGTCTTCCCCTTTTTCTGTTATTAAAAGAGTGTCAAGAAACTTTTCCAACTTCAGTGTGTGCCAGAATGTAATCATGTGTTCTTGGCTTTTACATTGTGCAAGTCCTAAGTACAATAGTTACAGTTTATTTAAATTAATCACTCCCGGTTTGAAGGGCAAATTGAAACAGAGGTCATTTGTGTAACGCTTTTTTCTTACTGATAAGAAACCTTCACAACCTCTGTACTGCTTCAGTGTTATGCCTTTGACACGTGACAGGGTTATTCTAAAGAGACAACGTTCATACTTCCTATTTGAGTCCATGTTTTTAGAACCATCTGATAAAGTTGCTGCTACAAAACACAACTGGTCATTTTTTGCACATCTCATTCCTGCATTGAGGATAATCTACAAGGAAACAGAGTTCATTCTTCTAGCTTGTGGACGTCTTACTGTAAATCATGCAGCACTCATATTGCTGCTAATCAGAGTGGAGCGCTCCTGTTCCCTCACCTTCTGGATGTATAGAAACAAGGCCATACAGTGGCTCTCTCATGATCTCTCTCATGACCAGTTGGTTCAGAGTAAGCACGTATAACCCTCTGCAGTAGTTTGGTAAAGAGACAAACATGAGAAGATAATTCCAAAATGCCTGTGACTAGTGTCCCATGCCCGTTTCACGGGCAAAGAGCCTTCCCCAGCAACTCATACCCTTACTGTCCAGCTGAGTTTCTTCCTCGGGGCTGTGCCAATGGCCATTGCAAACCCTTCCAAAACAGCTTCCAAGATAGCCAGGCAGAGAGAAAAAGCTTCAGAATAGTTTTCCAGATAGTTACGGAATACTGAGATTAATCTATGCTTAGATCAAAGAAAATGTCTCACAAAGTTTTTTTGAAAGAATCCAAGAAGCACTCCATCATGTAGTCAAACCAAGCAATTAAAAGTTCGACCAAATGGGTCAGTGTTAAAGAAGTAGTAAAACACGTGCCTAAGCCTTCATTCAGCAAAGCATTCAGCCACTCAGCTGCACACGCGTTTAGTGAAGAATTTAAGCACGTGTTAAGTAAGAAAGTAAAACCTTTGCTCAAGTTCATCAGAAGGTGTCTCCCACTATGTAGCAGAACACATTCTTAACAATCCACTCTCACCCTGTTCAAACCAATAGCCCCAATTCCTACTTCAGTCACTTCAAACTACTGACTGTAGCTGTGTATCTGCAATGCTGGCTGAGACTTGGGATCAGAGGGAGATAAAGTGTAAGAATTTGGAGGACATTCTGGATTAAACCAAATCTCACATGTCAGAGAGCAAGGAGTTATTTCTTTGCTTTTAGACTCTTGGTGGGGCAATGCTTGTTTATGAGTCTCTCTTGCTGGACACACAGTAAGAACTTTTTACTGTTCCTGCCTTTTGTTCATTGTCATTGATGCTGGTTTTGTCCTCCAACACATCATTCCTCCAGTGGCTTGTGAGACTCACCTGCTGTGATTTGTTCTTAAAATATTTTAAAACCCTGTGGGTTGGGATAACATCTCTTGTCTGATGCCTAGAACAATATGATTCACAGCTCAACACCTTACCTATCAAAACAATTCTTGCTCACCTCCCGCAGTGTCCCTGTACTGAAACTGAAGTTATACCCATTGCCTTCAGTGGAATTAGGATCAGTCCACTTAGATATTGCAATTAAAGAAATATTTCCTGTTTGTTCAGTTACTAGTTTTCAGGGCTTTTGTTTAATTTTTTAAACCAAATGTCACATTGCCAAATACATCAGATTGATGGCTACATTTTGACAGATTCAAAACTGTGGATTTTACTGCATGTGGTAGCTTAAATATTAGTCAAATGCAGAAAGAAACTTTGTCGGAAAAGTTAGGATGGCACTGACAGTCAAATGATCCCCAACAAATTTGCTCTGTACTTCTCTGTTTGTACTATACATCTATTTGTCCATTGATTCTAGGAATCTTAAAGACTCAGCTCACCTCAGCAGGGAGCTCAGCCTGGCACTACAGCTCTTCAAGCTTTAAGTACTACATGGAACAAGTTCCTAAGCAGTACTCTACATTTTTACAGCCCATGGGTTGGTCCAGAAGTGTTGAGCTCAGTTCCTTATTATTTCACATACAAAACTTGAATCTCAATAAATATTTTGCCTTTCCATTAACTCAGATATCTTTGCCTTTATAACATAAAGCATCATATTTAAATTAGCATTCCCAGAAAGATAAACAGAAGATTTTTTCAATTTAAAAGAACAGTATTCCCGCAAGATAAATATAAGAACAAAAAGGAAAATAAAACAGAAGTTTTACTAGTTTACCAAGCAATATGCTAAGCTCTTCAGCAGCTAGGGCCTTTAAATGAAAGACATGCTTTTCTGAACAACAAGCTCCCATTCAATCACTGGTCCCTAGTCACTCAATTAGTTGCCAGAAGAGAAGGTAAAAGATTTTAACCAGACTGCCACACAGCAAATCAGACTGGTCAACGGTAAAGATCCCCTGTGACCTTAAAATCTGTGAATGTGTATTCCTGAAGTCACTAAGAGATTTTAAATTCATGTACTAGGGAAAAGGATTAGAACACAGATGAACAAACTGAATATAACCACACAATGTAAATCTGTTATTGGTCATGAGAACATTTTGTTCTGCTTTAAACAGTACTCTGAAAACTTGTAATTCACTGTTTATATAGGACCCAGAGGGTCACAAAGCTCAAAAATCCTGTATTTTGGCTGGTCCCATCTGCAATCGAACATCCACAGGCTTTGGAAGAGGTCTAGTGTGGCTTCCAGCATAGACCCCCTCTTAACATTCAGGACAGAAATAGAAATATTGACTCCACATGTTTGAACTAAAATTACATGCTACATATGCATGAGACAGGCTTGTCAGCTGAGGAAAACAAAATTGCCACTATTAGCTTTAAATTGCATGTGTTGTTTTCCATTCTAGTCTAGGGCAGACTATCAAGATAACTTTGTGTTAGTTGTATGCCAAGCTTTATGTCCAGTGAAGTAAACAGGTGCTTAAAATAAACAATCCTGAATGTGAAGTATGCTCAGCTGTTCTGAGGAGACTTTTTCTTGACAACATTGCATACTGGGCTAATGCAAGAGAAGGATTCGCTGCCATGAAAGTCCCTATCTTATCAACCACCTCTTATCATGCAGTTTTGCGCTATGACAGAATATCAGCAGCCCATTAACAATGTCAAGCTGTCACGAATTCACACAGCAGTAACCTTTCCCACTGGCCATGCTACCACATTCTTTGCAGCAAATCAACTGTAATATTTAGTCAGGACTCCAGATGGATGGAGCCATATCCGAACTTGCTACCTGCTGTTTCAGCAGCATTGCCCAGGTACTTCCCACCATCCCTTCCATCACAATTTCTCATGTGCAGAAATGTCCTAACAAACTTCAAATTTATTGCCGCAGGTCAGATTGCCCCATGAGTCCAATCCCCTCTCTTAAACCTGCATTTGGTGGGGGTGTAACTCAAGACACTTTGGCAGCACACTCAAAAAGGGACTAGGAAAAAAAAGAAAATATCACTGGAGGCTCCAGGTAGAGCACAACCCATGAAGCCCTCTCCTCTCTGATCAAGTGGAGCCTTCTTCTTTGCTAGCACTGCTGGTTCCATGAGCCACCAGGGTAGGATGCTGACACAGCCTTGACATGTGGAAGGAGCTGGTACCATTGGCAGTATTAATCTTTCCCTGGTGTTTTTTTGTTGGGTTTTTTTTAGCCAGCAACTGCCAAGATCACACTGTGATAAACCCCTTTACACATGCACAAGGTCAGCTCTGAGATACGGCTTTTGTAAACAGAAACTGCAGTTCCATAATGCACTAAGGGCAATGCCATTCACAGCACGTTCCTTAGCTTCAGGACATAGGAAAAACAGACAACAGATACAAAAGGAAGTGATTGTCTCCTGCTGCTAGCCTTCAGGGTCTAGGCTGCTCTTCCTCCCCTTCTCTGCCTCACCCCACATCCATAAAAGAGTCCCACAGAGCCATGCTCCTGTAATACCTGAGCACCAACTGTAAATGTATATAGAAATTTGTTTATAAATTCTTCATACCTACCACAAGTGGCATATTGATTTTGAACCTAAGCTGGTCTGGCACTAGAATTATAATTCTCTTTCATTAGAGCATATCAGAAAAAGAAAACAAGACAGTACACTTTGCCTGTATCAGGGTCTGAATTGCCCAACATGTTTGTGGCAACCTCCTACTGCAAGACTCAGAAAGCTGCCAGTTTACCCTCTAAAAATTGAGGTTCACAGAGGAGGAATCTGAACTCACTAAAACCTTCATAGAGCGAGAAGATGACAAGTTAATGTCATACCATCTGCCCCCATCATAGCAGAAAATTCATCAGACGAAATTCACAGATCATCTTGTGCCACTGCTTCACAATCTTGATTAGCAGACTCAATCAGCTAGTCATGATTAACTTGGAGCTTCAAGTTTTCATCTCCCTCTAGAAACAATGAACAGCTGGTAGGTCATTTAACTTTTATATAGGAACCATTACTGATCTGTGCGAGCAAGGCTTCAGTTGTCACCTTTCTTCATAAAACCTCAGAACCAGAGCTGGGTTCTACATCAGTATTATATTCAAGAGCTCTTTCACTAACTTATAATCCATACCAGATAAACTTCATTCTTCACCTAACTGACTATTGATACTTAGATAAAACAAAACTTTGATATCAAATGCTCTAGCACCTTGGAAAGTTCAAACTCCAATCCAGTTTGGGATCCAAATTCATAACTAAAATACTTTAATTGTAGCAACAATCTTATCCACATTTACACTTGATTAAATTAGCATGAAAGATCAACAAAAGCAAAATTGATAGCAATCCTGTGCCAGTCTGTAGGGCAGAGCACAGAGCTTTTTAAGCAAGAATATTGTGCAATACCTCAAGGGATTAAAATAATTAATAGCCCAAACTTAGTGCTGCATGTGTTGTACCCCTAAGCAGTGCACAGGGAAGGTCCATGAACTCTCAGCTCCACAGTACACAGTGGATATGCAACCCCTTCCCTCCCCAAGTTTCCCAGCTGGAAGCTGCTTCGGCACAAGTTGCCCTGCCCAAGTACCTAGGCAAGGGAAAGGCAGTGGGGCGTGATCAACACTGAGCCGAGCTCAGAAAGAGAACTAACTTGGTACTCAGAGTTCAAAAAAGAGGCAGCCTTGACTTGTTACAAGCTTTTGAAGAGTCAAGGCTGCAGTGCTAGCCAGGGAAAGTCCAAACTGAGAAAGGGGGCTCTGGGACAAACTGTTCAAAGGTCTCCAGCATGTGCAAGGACCCCCCCCACCCTCTTGTGAGACACAGTCACTTCTTAGGTACCTGTCAGCAGTTGCTCTAGGGAAGAGTATCAGTTAATGGGCTTTGCTTTTAAAGAGTTTTATAGCTTCTTAAATGGAAATGGAATTAACATTTTACTTAAATCCCTTTTAAAAACCCAATGTCAGAATTACTTACTGAACATAGGAATTATATATGGATACTTACATTTGAATTACATTCTCTGTATGCATTGTAATTACTGAAATTACTTCTAATAGAAATGCCTGTATTAAATCAGTGCATCTTTATTTAAAAGTAGTTACCTCAGAATTGCAGTAAATTATTGCCAACAAATCTAAAATGTAAAAGGAACATTATATATTTGTGTTACACTTTGAATAATTCACAAAGTCAAAGAAGATAAAAAGCCACTTAGCAAAGCAATAAATACTCTTCACAATTTAATATTTAGAAGTCATGGCAATTGTGCTGGTATTAGAAAACTTCAGAGGAGAAAAAAGATGACGAGAAAAATAATTAATCAAGCTACAATCCAGGAGCAAGCCGGACAGAAAGCTAGAATCTTCCTTACCTTTTTACCATTCACAAAGAAAACAAGTTCATCCCCTGTCTCGTTAGGAGCCATCCTGCACGCCTTCCAAAATTCACTCAAATAGGGCCACAGATCACCCTTCCAAGAGCAGCCCTACACCCCACAGCGAAGTGAGCCCCAGCAATACGACAAGTAATATGAGTCTGCCTCAAGAATGTTTGACTTTATTTCTACATCGGTGCCCTGCGAAACCCCATATTATATAAGAGCCAACGAAGAGGCGTGCCAGCTGCCTTTGGTTGGTGCTTCTGCAGCAGTAATGACAGAAAAGGAGCTGGAACAAGCAGAGTGACCCGCCCCCTTTTATATAGCAATAGATCACAATTCAACTGCATTCCCTTTAGATTATACTGCCAGGCTTGGGGCACTCGGAGTGTGCCACTGCAACGGCTGCCAGGAATTCACTGTATTTTGCAATACAACACAAACTCCAGGGGAGGGGGCGGGGGGGCGGTTCTCCCAACCATCCCTCACCAAATATTGGCAAGAAAAAGCTCTGTTTCCCTTGCTTTGTGTACAACCATCCACCTGGCATTCACCATGCAGAGGTCTCTCATGAGAGCGTCTGCTTATTTAAAAGCTCAATACATGCACATCAGCTAGTAGACTGACTGCAAGACTATTTCACTATTTTTTCTTACAGTTTTAAAGCTACAGTACCCTCCACCTGCAAGGACATAATTTAAACAGAGATGTATTTGCCCAGAATAAAGCAATTCTAGAGAACTGACACTCTGATCCAGCACCTCAAAAGAGGTGCTGGGCTAAGACAATAATGTTTTCACTGGGCTCTTAAAGCATTTAGGCTTACCTTTTTTGGCTTAATTCTCACATCCTGGAGCTTAAGTGCATGTTGCAAGTGAAACACAGAGGAAAGCCAATACTTTGAAGAATTTTTTGTCTTCCATTTCCTTGGTGGTGGTTTCTTCCGGTTTCTCCATTACACAACCATACATTTTGCATTAAGTCTTCCTGTTTTTTTCTTCCAAAGTTGTCACTGAATTGTCCACAGACCCCTAGACATGACAAACACTGATTTCATGAATGAGATATCTAAACCCCTAATTCCAGTTTAAAATTCTTCCACAAAACAGCACAATTCCAGTGTCTCATGGAAGTTTCCTAGTACTGTACTTAACCCTGTCTGCTCCATTCTGATTTTTGTGAATTTGCTTTCCTTCAACATATCAGACTTATCAGTTTCAATTAGTTTCTTTCAGGTTTTCTTAAAATCCCTGGGAAAGCACTACACCAAAGTCTGTCTCCCAGGAACCTCTCTGAACAATTCACAAAACAGCAAAACCTAATTAAATTACCATTTGCAGAAACAGTCTTTCCTTTAATATTTTGGAAATATGTCAGAATGAATACAATAAATATTTTTACCAGATTTTATCTTCCCACTCATGTATTCTATTGCCCAGTCTATCCCCTAGAAAAGCTATTTCATAACAAGTATCAAACATTGTCTCCGCACTTCTTTAGAGGCATTCAGTTTGCTGAAAGTATAGTTCACAGCAAACTTGTGCTTAACACCAACTGCCTTAATCTGCATTTGCAGTGAAGTTGTGCATTGCTGAACCAGTGCTGACACCTATTGTCTGGCACCTCCCACTTTCAAGTATAAGAATATTAGAAAAGTGACACTTCTCTCCAAGAAATTTTCAGTTCTGTTACTTTATATCTGTGTGTAAATTTACACGAGAACTATCCTCATGTAGCAAACATCAATCTCAAAATTAATGTACCCAAGCTTAATACTCATAAATAGTTTTGTAATATTTAAAATAACAATTATTACTCATAACCACAGGTAACGTGTTACAGCAATCTTAAAGTAACTAGCCATTACAGCATTAACACCAAAATCAAACATGCGTGGTTTCCTAATCTGTGTTTTCCATAATGCGTGATGTTGTTCTTAGCTTTAAAGAATACTTGTAATCATGTCATCTCTTTTTAAAGGAATCTCATGTGCAAATTTTTGCCCAGCTTTGGTGATAACCTTACAGGTAAACTATCCCTTTCTGTTAAATCAGTAAACAGTATCTTATGATATTCCATCATAATGTTTATTTTTGACCCATCGACCTGCTATATAAGTAATATAAAAACAAATATATCCGTGATAGTGACTTCTATATGTAGATTACACAGTAATATAAAGCTTCAGACCTCACAATAGCAAATTCATTCATTCATTCTCTCATCACCCCAATGGGATAGTCTATTACTATACTTATTTTATGGTCAGAGAACCAAGACACCTTGAACCAGAATTTTCAGAATCCTCTAAGTAACCCTCGAGCATGAGAGCTTGTGCTATTGAAGTCTCTTAACCATTTTTGGAAATCCCACCCCAAACAGAACAGAAGATTACCAGACAGAGAAGAAAGTGTAGGGGGAAAAACAAAACCAAAAACCACCACAACAAACCACAAACACACATTCAAACAAACAAGAAAACCCAAAACACAAATCCTCTCAACCCTCAGTAAACTTTATGTTATAAAGTTATTATCTCAATTATCATAGAAAGCCCTTAGCTAAATTTAAAAGCTTTTGTCGCACAAATTTGGTCATGAAACGATGTATTCTGACTTACTGATGGGTTAAAATCTAGCAGGTTATTTTAGAAATAATCCCTTTGCCCACACATAACACAGAGAAGTTCAAAATTCCCTGCAATCTTACTCACTAAAGAGCTCAGAAAGCAGTTGATATTGGTCAAGAATGAAGAAGGAGAAAAAGAAAAATCAGCTGCTTTTTCCTCATTCTGACTGGTTAATCCTGCAGACCTGCCTGTTGCAATCATAATGATGATCTGTTTTGCAGATGACCATATGCATAGCTCAATAAATACAGCAAAATTTACAGAAACACTGATCCTGCCTGAAGAGTTTACCACCAGAATTAGGTAAATGCATCCAAGTACAACAACAAACCAGTGCTGGAGGTAATAAAGGAAAATGTTTGAAAGGAACAAAGGTGAGAAGGTCTGTTGCTTTGTTCTCCTGTTCCCCTTGTGCAAAGTGGTAGGGAAGAAAATACAGTCAGCTCTGAAGGGGATTCCGCAGAGGGATTTATGAGGAGCATTTGGTAAAGCAGATAGCAAAGAAAAAGTGTCAAGTCAGTGCTTCAATGTTTTCACATTAACACTGTGTGCCTGCAGCCCCTTCTCTGGACTACTTCTACAAGTTTTTGAAGTGTTCACTGTTGCTAAAACCTGTGGACAGCATCTTTCAGCTGAAGTAGAAACAACTTGTTTGCTTTAGATCTGGAGATCTCCTCAGTTGGCACAGATAACCCTCCTGGGAGCATGCACCAGCACTCTTTTCAAGGGATCTAAAGCCATCTCCACCTGCTGAAACCAGGGTCAGCTATGAGGGCATACCAGGTTAGTTAGGGCTTTACACACCATGTCTTGCATAAACTACTGGTGGTTGCACTGCTTTGAGTGTTCTTTGTACATGTTAAAAAAATATATCACACAGTATTGATTACAGACTGTGAATGTGAAGGCAGAGAGTGTTACCTGAGGATCTGTTCTCCTTAGCATCACTTATTGACCACTGCTTGAAGACAGGCTCCTGAAATAAGTCAACTTTTTATCTGACTGGATAGGGACATTCACACTTTATTGGCAAAGTCTCCCCAAAGATCTCAAAGACATAGTCTTCTCAGGATCCTATTACAGGCAGCAAACTTAGTACTTTGCAATAACAACAACAACAACAAAAAAATGCATAACATTACTGTATAAGTATGAAAGTTAGGTATTGCTTATTTTTTTCAAATGCATTTAATTTTGCAGAGTAAAAAAATAAGTAAGTTTCATGTACTTTCTTACAAGGTGTATAAATTCCTTTCTGGTTGCAGATACAGGTTTGAAAAAGATCATAGTCACAAAGCGAATATAAATTGGATCTCCTCACTGAGGTTTGTGAGTGGATACTAGCTTATTATGCATGAATCACTAATCATTGTGTTCAGCTTATAATTGTATGAATATTGTCTAATTGTACAGATTCATTTCATGAATTATGACCTCTTCACCTGCATTTGAAGATGGGTGGAGTTTAATTATAGTTCTTTTCCTAGTCCTACCACTTCACTTCCTCTGACAGCAAGAAGAAATGAACAAAGTTGGTTAATTCTGTTGAGAAGTATTGGTTGTCACAAGTCTTCAGAACAATTAGTAAAGCAAGACTTTTGTTTCAATTCATTTGCAGTTTTTCTTTCATTACTTAGTTCCAGTGGACCAAACAAAGGATGTTTCAGATATCTGACCTGAAAAGCAACTTCTTTTCAGGCAGGCTTTTTAATGTGTTTTCCTTGTTTTTATCAGTATTGTCTTCAGCAGCAGCTGTTGTCTTTTACTTGCTTCCTGGGTATTATGAGAGAGAACCTGTCCTGATAAACTAACTCAATATCAGAAAGGCATTTTAATCTTTTTTCCTGGCCTTTCTTTCTCTTCATCTTTTGACATTCTAGAAGTATCTTTTGTATTTAATCATTATAACTCTGTCCCAGGATGCATGAGAAGGAAGCAGAGTGCCCTTGCCGACATTGGCTGCTGTCTTTGTCACAGGTGTCTCCAGCGGGTGTTTCAAGGAGGAAAGGGGAGGGAGCAGCTGCAACAACCACGTAGAGCTCTTCTGAACAACTGCTAACACCTCCTCTCTGGCATCAAATAACACCTTGATATTCCAAGATCCCTGAGCAGGCAAGCAGGAGCTTCTGGGCCAGTCTAAATAAGTAAAAGCTAGTTCCCATAGCTAGCTTGCATAGCACATGACTAATTTTCCACCACTTTTCTTCATAGGAGACAATCTCTGCCTCGCTTGTTTTCTTCTGCTTCTGTGAAGGTATGGATGAATTTTGCTCAGGAGATCATTAAATCTAGTTTTCTCTTGTCTATAGACCAGATGCAGTCTAGCATGTGTCTCCTTGTCAAAACAGATACCAGCTATATGATGCAAATTTCTATTTAATTTACTGTCCTAAATCTGTCTGGGCATCTGTACAAGTCCTCTGGCTGCCCTGTGTATCTCACTGCTAATCACTTTCTCATTTTAGAATGCAGTATTTTGGTGGACAATTTGTTCAAAAGACAAGAAATCCTCCACAGCTGCTTCTGCTAACAAAAAAGGCTTCCTGAGAGTCAACCTAACATTTGAGTGTCCTTTCTAGGACGGAGTTGTAGTCTAAAAGCGTGTGAGCATTCCC